TACTCCTGATGAATTCATATGTTTTGATGTAACGTGTAGGGTACGCCGATGACGTTAAGCCGTAGAACCGGAAGTGCACATACCGCCATTTTGAATAAGGGATCCATGTAGTTCATTCATGGAATAACACTGTATAGAGTCCTTGATCCCGTAGTGTCCCAGGTGGACACAAATGAATGTGAGTGCAATATTTTACATTATTTTAATTACGTTTTACACATTTGGATATATTTCACTATTTGGAGGATTTTTTTTTTCGTTTATCTGTGGAGCATTTTGGAGCTTAGAAGTGCTGAAGGAGGTGGAGATCTTTGTACCAGCATACCCACCAGGGTTAAAGGGAAAGGCACAGTTTGACCTGAATATTCGGGTCAAACCATAAGGTGAGCGCATAAGTGTGTCAGAATAAGCACTGGGGGGGGGGGTCACACAGGAGCACCATATGTGTATACGCAGTGGAGTGATTGCACATATGCATTTGGAGCACAGCGATCTTAAAGGGACTCTTCACCAGGATTTTGCTATCATAATATTGGGACACCTGTTGATGGTATTTGATATACGATGCACAGGAGACATATCAGCACATGTGAAGATTGGGGAGCATTAAAGGAACAGTTCACCATTGAAATGATTTATTTGTGTTTGGATAGCACTGTTACATGCAGTTTATGCACAGATATGGGTTTATATTTATTTCAATAATATTATCACGTAGCATGATTTATGTTTCAATATTTACATATGTATGTTTTATTCAATTTATTTAGCATTATTTGCGAGTTTATAGTATTGCGCTGCATATTTTTGTTTTATGGTTTATATGTGGGAACACAGTACATGTTAGCTGCAATATTTGTTAGATAGGCTATCCATTGCGCTGTAGGTATTCCACATACAGGACAGATCTTCCCTTCGATGTTCTCACAAGTCATATATTATAGGCACCAAAAATGGAAAAGTAAAAACCATAGTGCTCTCTATTTATAAAACCTTTATTAGTGCCCAAGATAAAAACTTACAAGATAAAACAGTAAAACCGCACATAACAGTCATGGCTCACCATTACAATCTTCTGAATGGCTGCTAATCTGACATCACAGGCTTGGCTCCTCCCACCTATACGCATTACGCCCCATGATTGGGCTTTCTCATTAGGCCTATACTATTTTGTACATTAATGAAATTCTTGGGTCAGTTGCTTTCATAAATTTTTACCATTCAGGAAGATTATTTCTTGTTACTCATAAACTAGCTAAGCTTTTCTGGGAAGCTTATGAGGACAAACACAATTTTAATGAAGTGTTGAGCGGACAGTGTGAAAGTTTGTTTTATACAGTGCATTATGGGTGTGGAGGTATCGAATGTGAATTTAGTTGCTGCTGCTTTTTATGATGAGAATGTGACAGCAGACTTTTCCAGGATTAGCGATGGCAGTAGTTGAAGTAGCTGGAAAGATGTGTGGTTTTCTCTGTCAGGTAATCTTTGCCACGTAGCAGGATTCAGTTACACGTTTGAGGAAAACAAATGAATCTGGACAGTCTTTCCCCTTTTTTTGTAGTTCCTTCTTCACTGAAACAATTCAGTGCTGTAAAGGTTGGTATTTTTTTAAGTTTTCACAGCTCTGAAGGTGGACTGCCTGTATAGTTTAGACAATGTGAGCCAGTCTTGTGATGATGGAATTATATAATGAAGAGCTGGACCAATTCAAAGATCCAGGTTGGCAATGTAGACCACACAAAATCAGCACGTTGGATCGGAAAACAGACATAAAAGTTCTTTCCTCTTTATTGAAGATCTGAAATGCAGAACTATTCTGCTGATGCTGCTCCCATTTGTTTTCTTTTTTTTTGAAGAGTTAAGACACTACGGGGTCAGTTTACTAAGAGTTAAATAACAATTTGAAAAATGTGGTAAATAACTAATGTGGTAATGAATTTTCAAACAATCCACTACGGTAAAGAGTTCATAATGCGATAATAGGTGCGTACTAGTCTTCGGTATTTTTCTGCATGTCCCTCTGTATATCGTACAGAATGAGGGAACTGTGTGCAATCTATTGCACCTATTACATTGGGGATAGATGCAATGGCATAAAATCTACTTTTGATTTGACCCCACTCTTGGTGTGATGATGGCATATATATGTAGGTAGCTGCTATAGTATAGAAGCCATGTAGAACTCTTCCCAGTACACGAGAGAAAGTAGCCTGCGACATTTCTAACATGTCACCAGCAACTATTTGAAAGTAGGTCTTTCCCAGAAAATGGAGCACCGCTGTCAATTTTGTCATGCCAAGTATTGCATGACTCCACTGGGTTTTGGTCTCCAACACAAAACTCAATCTGACGTTAAGGACGAGAATGAAATCTTTTGTCATACGAAACTTTTTCAGGGCTTCAGCTTCTGTGAAGTCATCCAAAAAAGTGCGCTCAGGAAAATTCCGGAGTGCCATGACAACCCTTCTCCTCCTTCTAATCCATATTCTCAGGAGGTTAAACCGCAGCAGATTGCACTCAATCACCTCCATGGCTGAGCTGTCCACTCTCTGCAATTAGACTCCAACGCTTTCAGAGGATAAGGAATTACCGCCTGTGATATCACCAGCAAAACCCTGGGGATAATTGCCGTGCCTTTTTTTTCTTCCTTCTCCGTTTATGAATTGACCTTACTAGATTATTGCATGTCTTATTTTTGTGATATTTCCTGACACATTTATACATTTTTGTTAAACACCGCATAATCATTAATTTTTGTTTGTGTGAAATAAAGTTTTTTATTTTATGCAAATGAGTCACGTGACCATATTATTGCATGCGGTAACTTTTAGTGAATTGACCCCATTGCGTTAAGGCAGCCCATGGAAATGAACACACCCTGATGTGCCGAAAATCAGTCATGACCCTTTCTTTGTAGTACAATGCATGTGTGTTGCATTATCTTAGCATAGTGGAGTTGCATTCTAAATGAATGTAATGCATGTAATGTGCGTTAATGTGACAAGTTTGTGTAAATGAGCCCTAATAGTTCCCTTTATTGAATTCTGTGTTGCTCGATTCTGCTGTTAGGGAGAAGGTATCCTTACTGTGAACTAGAAATGCATTCAACAATTCCATCTGTTGAACAACTTAATTGAGCTGACAGGCTGATCTTGCCTTTCCAAATATATTTTCTAAAGTATTTTACGCAAAATGAAGTTTAATCCTGGAGTGGACAGTGACAGGTGTTATTATCAGGTGAACTTTCTTTTTTTCTGCTTTCTGCTTCAAGTTGACAATGTGCCTGATGAATTATTTTCTATGTACAGCTGATTTATACAAACTGAATCATGGCTGTTTATAAGGGATTATCGGCTAATGTATACTGCGTTAATGTCCCCGTCTTCCCGACTTAAATTATTCATTCTTTGGAACAGTGGTGGAATAGTTATTGTAGGATAAGAAAATAAAACTCTGGTGACCAGGGAATTGAGAGCTATTGCTGGTGGGGAGGCGGGGGCTGAAAAGCCAGAGCTATTGTTAGGTAAGGCCAGCACTGCGTGAGGACCTAGCAGCTAGTGTGACCGCATTGACAACTGGAATTGCGTGGGGCAGACCGAGCTTAATCCTGCCAGGGTGTGAGGCAGCTATCAATACTATCACATTTAGTTGCCTTGTTTTCACGCTGTGCTAGCTTTACCTAATGATAGCAGCCAAAGTAGGGGAAAACCGTATACCCAAATTGTCCCACTATTTCAACAATTAATTTAATTACTAAAATAATTTCTATTCAAAATTTACAGAAAAAAAGTTTTCCTTATAAAGTAGAACTTACTCCCTTCTCCTCATTTGAAACTGCCACCATCACTGTAATATCTAGTGCAAAATAAACATATTTCATTGTTATTACTTGACCTATTTTTTCTATAACTTTGGTGCCATTGTGACGCCAAGACCTCATCAATGGCCAGCTTCTTCTTCCTCGTTTTTGCACCTTGCCCACAATGATGTCAGCATTTTCTGAGACTACGCAAGACTTTGGTAAACTTTGGGAGATCTCTGCAAAAAGTCTATTCATTCTTTTTTTGTTTTACACAGATTTCCTACAAGGGTTCTTTGGAAAGGCACTGGTGACGTAGCCTTTTTCGGGGGCAGCTGTAAGGCCCTGGCTACCTCCCCAGTACCTATTTAATTCCAGGAAGTGGGATTGCAAAAAAATAGAAGATTAAAAAAAATGAATCTTTTACTTAAAAAAGGACTTTATTTACAAATAGGACTGTATTTAGGGATCAGTATCCATCAGTATGTTTAGCTATGTACTGTATCTTTCAGCTATCAGTATAGTCATATGAACGTTGTGCAGTGTTGGCTACTAGGTTTTTAAAGCTGACTGCTAGTTTTGGGTGAGATTTGTCCAGGCCTACTTTAACCTCCCTGGCGGTATGATTATTTCAGATTTTTGGTGCTGAAAGCGGTACCATTATTTTGCATGGAGATATGTATTTTTTTTATTGTAGGCCTGTAATATTTAGGAATAACTCACTGCAATCTGTCCGAACAAGAGTCTATTAAACATCCCGGGTATGATAAAATTTGAAACACGAAATCATAAATTATAATTTAATAAATAATCATAAAAAATAATAATATAATAATAATACATTTAATTCAATAATATAATCAAACCAAAAACACTAAAATTTGAAATATAGCGCCAAGTTCCGCACATCACTGAGCAAAGTTGCAAAATCGTTTTCAGTGTCTGATGACGAATTTCTCCACGAATCATTATCACTCAATTCTGCAAGTAGTTCTGATTTACTATCGCTGTTCTCTAGCCGGTCTAAAACCGCTTTTGACCTAAAGGGACGCTTTTTGGACGCCATGGACTTTTCTACGTTTCCAGGCAGAAAGAACAGTTAAAATGCAGACGGGACAGGACAAAGCACTCGGGACAAAATGTATGTGAAATGGTTTGAAACAGCAATGTTTTACTATGTAAAATTCGTTTTGAAAAAAATGAATTTTTTTTTAAATTTTCAATTTCCCGCCGCCCGTATGTCCCGACGTCACAGGGACTGGAACACAGAAGCCGGATACCAGCATCAGCCGGAGGAGATGGCCGGGGATGCTGCAGGGGACGCATCGCGGGAGCGAAGGACAAGGTAAGTGCTGGAGGGACTCCCTATGCAGCGCCGCATGGTAAGCCCGAGTGTAGCTAGGGGTTACCACTTTTGGTACAGAAACTTTACCCCGAGCTACACTCGGGAATACCGCCAGGGAGGTTAATCTGGCATCTAATAATCAAGTTGGCCTATCAGTGATTTGAGATTAAACTTGACCCTGAAAAGATTCAACAAACAAGCTGTAGCAGACAGATTCATTACTGTCTTTGAGTGGTTATGTCTAGATGACAATAACAAGCTACTATGTGATGTGCCAACATACTGTATGTTAAGGACCAGACTGTGGGACCTTGTAGACTTGTAACCTTTTACAGAGCAAGGAACATATTCCAGCTGAATAGGAGTAAAAAAAAAAGACCACACATGAGTTTACAGTGCTTATTGGAAAGGACGCTGAGGACAAGTTCTGAGAAATGAAAAAGGAACACGAATCCAAGATTTATAATGCTTTACAGAAGGTCAGAATTATATAGATTTACATGACAATCTTGTCAGCAGCTGTGCATCATGGGCAGTTTTAAGTAGTGCTATGGCGGAATTCCAACAGGCGAACAAATGACACATAAACATATACAGTATATTGTAAAAAAAAGATGTGAGTTAACCCTGCTATATGTAGTATGAGCTAAACTAAAAAAAGAAAAGGGTTGTTGACTTGACTGCACTAACAAAGAAGAAATCATACTAAAGTTGAGAACCTACTGCTCACATTGTCTGCAGTCTAACACATCGGATGAAAGCAGGGCAACCAATTCATAACAAGTCTCCCAAAATGGAATTGAATGTCTCCAGGGCTGAGACTTGCCATGTAGCACATTCCAATTCTAGCGCATAATAGCACACAGCTCTTCATTTTCTAAGGTCTGTGATTCTGTCCCTTTTGAAAGTAATGGTCCTTTACTAGAGCCAAAACTCGAAAATGAAATGAACTACTTTTCTGGATCAACACTCCGAAACTGCAGCTTTCTCTTTAGGGTGTAGCAAGCAGCATTGTGTGTAATTTGCTGGCATGAAAAATTCAAGGGCACATTTTCTGACTTAGATAAGTATTTATTTTATTTATTACAGGTATTTATACAGCACTGGCAATTTGTGCAGCTCTTTACTTATTGTACATTCGCATTAGTTCCTGTTCTCAAGGAGCTGACAGAGAGAAGTCCTGCCTTTGTTATGTTCAGTTTGAAACCATGAATCCGCTTGCAGTCTCTTACCAAGGTGATGTGTTATTTATATAGTTGCCATAATGGCAAGTATTTTGGAATCAAATTAGCTGGGTCCATTCAGGTTCTTTTCACATCCACCACCAACCCCCCCAGAGTGTCCCCACCAAGAGTCTGCTGGCCCGCATGGTGGAGGTGCCCTGTAGCAATGAGGAGAGCTCCTCATCTGGCCTGGCCACTGCCAGCTTTCTTGCTACCAAGCACCTGCTGGTGGAGGGGTAACAGTTCATCCTTCTACCAGGCATTCAGTGACAGGGACTGCTCAAGAACAAAATGCCACGAGACCTGGTAGCAGAGTGTAAGGCCTGGGCACATCTCAGCCGGGTGGACTCCACCAAGAAGCTGCTGGAGATCCAAACTCTACAGGAAGACTGACCGAGTCCAACCTCTTTATGGCCCACGTTCATCAGAGCAGTATCTGGCCATTGCTATGCATACCTAATGAGTTGTGAAAACATCCAGATACTGACAATGCTGGAGGAACATTCATTTGAATAGCGGCTTAATAGCGTTGTCGGATTCATTTCTAAATATGGAATTGACAGGATCAACAGGTAATTGCTGTACAATAAGAAAGCAATTAAAACATGAGCATATTATAATTGTATAGCTATTATAAGAAACTGTTGACAGTGATTTTCATTTTTGCCCGGAGAAACGTTTTAATGATAGTAACACAGTTGGTCCATGAGGTGACCTTGCTTGTTGAGCTCTGCGGAAACTTGCCGTTATGCCACCATTCACTGAAGTCTTAGCCAAAAGTATAATCTCAGTTTGCCTGGTTGGTATATAAAAATGCATTTAGACTAGAAAACCCTGTATGTCCACAAACCCCTGAAGCTGAGGACTTCAGACATGAAATGTGAATGAAACCGTTTTGTCTTATTATTTATGGTGAAAAGTTGAGCCTGCATTATATTGAGCTACTTCGTCATTGTTCATGCCTACTTTGTGGATTGGGTGTATCATTTGCTGTCTGCATACTCTTTTCTAAAAACATTCTCATCCCCGACATGGAATTTAACTAAGAGGGAGTAAAAAGGAGGCTTTACACATTTGTTAAGAATGTACCATCTTTTAATTTCATTTATTTTGTAGCTCTGTAATACAAAGCCTGTGCTTTTGTGGCGGGTACTTGAAGCTTGAAGCAGCAGCAGCTCCTCATCCAGCATTTCATCTCATTCTGTCTCATTAATTTTCAAGTCTGTTTCCATGGCAGTACACCGAAGTAGAACCATGGCTATAACCAATGAGAATGGAGCAGGCTCATTTCCCAGTTGTCTTAGTGAACCTAATCTTCCCTTCTCAACGTATCTATGTCTGTGAGATCTGCTGCTGTGACCTTCAGATTCGGCTGATAACAGCAGCCTTTGCCACCACAGGGGATAGTTGCTTCACTGAGTGACAGATGTGCAGTTGGTATAGTAACAGAAGTCCTGAAGACTGCCTATAGATAGCGTGTGCATAGTAACAAGAAGAACGGTGCATGTTGGGTGAGCTCCCCAGAGGTTTTGTTCATGGCTCCAGCTTATCTTCTAATATTCAACATAGGCACATGTGGACTCCGTCTGATAATGCAAACCATTTGATACTCAAGTTTAGTGTATCTAAACCAACAACAAAAATGTGATATAGTGCAGTATACCAGCCCTATGTTGTGGTGTTTGCTTTTGTTTTTTTTTCCTTTTCATTCTTTTTTTTCCTGTTTTTCTTAACCTGGTGGTAAGTGACACACTTCCTCTCCTAGGATGACAACACTCACTCACTGTACTGTATCTCTAGAGGAGCAGCATTGTCACCCACGATCAGAAAGTGTGTTAGGACTACAGAATGCCTCTGGGACAGTAAGGGCTTGTTTACAACCCCATAGTTGAGACGTGTTTTTACCACAAACCCCCAACCATTACTGTAGAGTCAGGGGCTGCAATGGCAACCCCGCCCCTTTCTCCAGGGGGCCCATGCAACCTCCCTGTCACTTTCTGTTTTATATTTGGACAGGAGGGGAGACGGGGGCAACATGTACAGGAACCTATCCTCTCCATTTTATGCCTGCAACCGGTGAAAGGGGGCTTCTCCTGCTCTCCCTCCTGCTGGCACTCAGCAGCTGCAGGAGGAAAATGTTCATTATGCTATTCAAACTAAAAAAATTCCAATTCAGAATAATTTCATTTAATTGTGGCCTGCAACAGGTTTGGCCTTCGCTCTTCTAAAGGTTGAGCACCCCTCTTCTAGATGTTCCTTATAAAATAGCAAATCTGTACTTTTCTGGTTTTGGTCCACGTTAACGTATGAAGGTTTAGAGCTTGTTAAAAGTTCCATGTTTAAGGCCTGCATTAGTTCTTTGTATGTGTATTACCTTGAGAGCTGTAAAAGGTTAGACTGTGAAACAGTTGTGTGTAATAGCCATGACTACACCTAGAACATCATGGTGACACAAAGCTACCCCTCAACCTAACCTTCTTATTGCTGTTTGGGAATTATCTGTATAAGTGCCGATTCACATATATGCGGATTGGTTGTGGTTTGAACCGCAGCCAATCCGCATGACATGTGAAAAAATATTGCTTCCTATGGTGCCTGCTCACATATGTCCGGTGCACTGGCAGAACAGATTCAGTGCAGTTTTAAAAAGAGTCCTGTACAATTTCTGAGCAGTGCGGTCCTGTTCAGGTGTGGATTACAGGCTATTGACTTTTATGGGAACCGTTTCTAAACTGCAAGATAAGATTCTGAGCTAATCCTGTCCTGAACCTGATGTAAACCTGATGTGTTCAACAACTTCTGTATCAATTAGGTGTGAAACCTGAGCTTCAATCCGCACTGCACATGTGTGAATCGGCTCTGAAATATTGTTGAAGTACTGTTTAAGTCACCCTTTATCAACCTTTTCAACATGCAGGAACCCTTAAAATAACTTTAATGTCAAAGGGAAATCCCTGCCAGTAATTACTATATCAATAGCTTGTGGTACATATGATGGTCAATAGGAGGAATGCTTCTTACCTTGTAGATCAGTGAGAAGAATGCTTCTTACATCGCTGGTAATTGGGAAGAATGCTTGTCACATTGGTGGTCAGTTTGAAAAATGCTTGTTACATTGGTGGTCAGTGGGAAGAATGCTTCTTACGATGAAGATCAGTGGGAAGAATGCTTCTTACGTTGGAGATTAGTGGGAATAATGCTTCTTACATTGGAGATCAGTGGGAATAATGCTTCTTACGTTGAAGATCAGTGGGAAGAATGCTTCTTACGTTGGAGATTAGTGGGAATAATGCTTCTTACGTTGAAGATCAGTGGGAAGAATGCTTCTCATGTTGGACATTAGTGGGAATAATGCTTCTTACGTTGGAGATCAGTAGGAAGAATGCTTCTTACGTTGGAGATCAGTGGGAAGAATGCTTCTTACATTGGTGGTCATTGTAAAGAATTTTTATGTTGGTGGTCAGTATGAAAAATGCTTCTTACAAAGCTGTGTACCAACAATCAGATTATCAGACGATTGCGCTGAAAATGATTTTATCATGTGTACTAGGAATTAAGACAGTGAGAGGGTTAAGCTAGTTCCTTACTCAGTAATGTTTTATTGCGAGGAGCTGCATTCTTCTTCTTGTCCTCTCCTAACTCCTTCGTGCAATGAAAATGATAATGGAAAATTCAATGGCTCACAAGCAATTGTTTGAGAAAATCCATTCCAGGGAGTGTTGAGAGCAGAAATAGGCCAAACATTTACAGCTTCATCTAAAGTCTCAGCAGATAGGAACATGTTGTGTGCAGGCTGCTGGAACAGACTGTTTACTTAATAGAGAAGATGCGTATGTACTTAGTGTTATACATTTTATCCATATTAATCCTTATGTCTCCTTTGTTCCTTTATGTCA